GGCATGATTCTCAAAGAAAAATAATTGTAAAACGCATGGTGGCTGGGGAAATCGGAGACAAAGGCAGATGTTGCTTCAAAAAACTACCACTATTTTAAAGGTTTTTGTGCGCTCTAAGAGTACTTCCACCTTTCATCGCTAATTCACCTTTAGCGCGCGCGTTTAGAAATAGAAATCAATTTTACCCTCAGAAAAAGTCTTGTTGTATGAAATTGATGTGTGAGAATCTATGGTGATTAGGAGAACACCTCTAATTTTTACAGCTGTTTTCGTATATCTGTTTTCCCCATTTTGTCACTACGTGTGCCAATAAACAAATGATAATTCCACTTCTTAGAATATTAGTAGCAATTACAGAGTGCACCAGTCGGTTTTGCCATCACCAGCCTTCGCACTAGGGATGCCGATACTGGTATTTCTGCTATGGCTCGGTTCTCTGTAGATGTGAGAATCATTTTCAATTACTTACCATAATGGATTTATTTTCCAATGGAAATGCCAGACTTGGGCATTGAAGCTGGAACTCTAGAGAAAATGACCATCATCTCTTTTTAGAACGACATGTTCACTGTTGATAAAGCCAGATGCGGTGGCAAGGAATGTACCACCACTTTGCGGTTAGCCAAAGCACTCGACTTTGAGAGGTAGGCAGAATAATGATGTGCTATCAGCTCCCACAGCTAGTGAATCAACCGCGCACGGTTATTAATTAGCTATTCAGTCCAGACATACACTGCAATCAAGGAATGTAATGGCCACCAAGGCGGAGGAGGAGGGAGCAGTTGAGTACAAACAAAGGACAACGTATTTAAACAGGAAAAAATTTTCCAATTGTTGGTGACCAATTCGTTTCACTCGCTTTATACTGCCCCCCCCCTCCCGCCCTCCCGCTCCAAACGTCTCCCAGGTAAAAGTACATGGAATGCGTGCAGCATCCCAAAAGTAATTGATTGAGGGTGATGACTTTGTCCTTTTTTACCCTTTTGTACCCCCCCCCCACTAGTCCGTAGTGCCGCAGAACAACTCACAAAGTGCTTCCGATAGCTGGTAGGGAGCGTTTACAACACCCTCGTTCGGCCAATTTTGAGAATGTTCGGTGAGCTTATCGGACGATTGAAGGGAAGGTCGAACAGAGTACGAAAATTTCGAAGAGGTCGCATTTGGAAAAAAATCTGCCCAATTCCAGGAGCTGTCATTATGATTATAAGAAGAATGTGGCAGTTCTTCCTGTGCAGGGGATGTAGGGGAGGTTGACGCATATGCGACCTCCCTTGCTAGCAACTGAAACAACTGACTTTCTCACGGTTTCTTATCGTTCCTCTCACGACTTATTGAGGATTTGCAATCGGGCCATACCCTAAAGGGACGATGATTTGCAAAGAAAAAAAATAGTTCTTTCACTGACCAATATTGTGATGCTTTGTGGGGCTGCACATTTCGGCACGAAGTACCGTCTCAAGAGTAATCGTTGTACGAAGTGCACTACTACCACTACCATGCTGCTTCGTCGGCTTTTGAAATTTGGGTTGGCTCATAAGTAATGGCGTTTTTCTGTCATACAATTGTTTATATGAAAAGCGACAATTGTTCCCAATATGTTTGTTCTGCACTGTTTCATAGATAATACCTGCTCTGTAATGTAGTTTTGTTTACCTTCCTACTGTTTATGTTTTCCGCCGATTTTCATTCATTAAAAGAAAATTCGGGTCCACCCAGAAATGAGTTTCCGACATTTTGAATTGTATGTCGGCTCTTAATCTATAGAAGAAGGCTCAGGAACTTGTGGCATATGTGGCCAACGAAATATGCGTCTTTATGACAGTCTGAAAGTTCAACGGTATCATGTCTGGTGGGAACTCCGGATTGTAAAGAGATCGCGTGGGGGGCCATCTTGCCTGCGGAACCCACCCACTAAGTTTTGAAGTTCTCCACTCAAGTGAAGGTGATGCTTGATAACGATAAGGAGGCATTCTATGACCTCTAACACCCCTCAATTTTGCATGATTCTCAGTCAATAATTCCCGTACGCTCTCAGCTTGATAGAACAGGGCATCAGGTCGATGCTTATCTATGATATCGAAATCTGTAAACTTCGAATCAAGTTAAAGAATATTAGTAGTCTAAAAGACGTAGCCATCCTGGAACCCATTCGGTTTCACTTTTTAATAGAGTTTATAAAAGAGAGGCTTCGAAAAATGCTTCATTTCGTTGATCTGGCACTCCATTAAAAAAATTACTCAAACAAATGCTAGGTGAAAAAGAGAAACTTAAAGAAAACTTAAGAATACTATGCGTGTAGGCAAGGAATTCTCTGCCAAATGGTATAAAACTCATGGCAAAACTTTTCTTCTACAGCGCGATATTTAGAGTGGGGAAAAAACGCCATTACTTATGGGCCGACGCAATATTTTTCACCTATTTTCAGTCTTATAATTTCCACTGGTCATTCTTAGCTCACTTTAGCATTCAGGCAGGCAGTTTTTATCCCTGTTTCTTTCAGTCAACGAATACATCATGTGCTCATAACGGCTGAAGATGGTAATCCGCGATCGAATAGAACGCTATTCACCACGCATACGATCACCGTTCATGTAACAGATGAGGATGAGTAAGTGATTCCCATTGTTAATGATATCGAAAGAAAACCTGAAGCAACGCACGAGGATTCGCTCTTGCAAGAATACTCAGCTAGCTGTAGACTAGTTTGGACAGATGATTGGAGATTGTGATTTTTGGGGCAAAAAACGGGCGATCTGGTGGTTCAGCGGCGCTTTTCTTTTTTACTTGTGGATCGCATTGGTCCAAATACCACCGTTTTTCTGCAGTACGGGATTACATATCAAATTGGATGACCTCTGATTCGTTAAGACCACAGCCATTCGCTGTAAGGATTATTCGAATTGATTCATCCTACTTCTTAGGGCTGAAAACGCCCGCCACACTAGCCAGGGAAGGCTATAGGGATCACTGGGTCCTAGGGTTGCGCAAATAAGCTAAGACTTTCATAAATGGGATCTTTCAGATCACGGGGAGTTTTTTTTGATTAAGTGAGCTGCATGTTATAGGTGTAGGTTGGAAGTGGACAGCATATGTAAACTCATTAACTGCGTGCGTTTTCCAGGTGGTGATTAGCAGACATTGAAAGGACGAAAAACTTCATTTTCCATCTACTATAGTAGCTGTCCACTTGTTAGGCGAATCAAAAGATTGCGGTTACCGGTCCTGAGTGTTCATGCAAATCCGTCAGAAATGACAGCTTCCTGCTGAGGGATACGATTTTAGCACTCTTGGGGGGGGGTGTTTGGTTTGGTGGGGGCGAATTGCACTCTATCGATCAACCACCGATGCCTCTGTAAAAAACTGTACAATCCCGTTAAGCCATGCAGCTGCATGAGCTTTGTTCACACTTGACAAGACACACATTTGACAAGATTGGTGTCGGGTATCGCCGTGGTGAGACGTGTAGTCTGCCAGGAACTAGCAGAAGAAACGAGTGAAACTGCAATATGCCTGCCCTAAGCGCCGATTCTTGTTTAGGGATTCACGTGGAAATCGTAGAAACAACGGAGCCTTCCATTTTCTGAAAGTCACGGCAGGTTTCTTCATGAAGTGTCCAAATTTCAGTGAACCGCCTGTGTTTGAAAACGATCTGACGCAAGAAATCCGTCTAACTGGTGCTCAATCTATTGGAGACGAGATCGTCACTTTGAAAGCTGTTGATGGAGACGAGTCGATGAAGAACAAGAGCAAAATACGGTATGTATTGCCCCTCCTACACAGTTGAATGGTGCAGTGGTGCATTGCGAGACAATTGTCTGGGAGCTGAGCATAAGATATAGCGCTCGGCATACGGCACGGCTACCTGGTCATGCATGCCTTGTCCAGGGGGGTGGTGGACTTTCCATATTCTACAATCGGGTCATTCATTTCAGTAGAAGCTGGACTAGACTATTGTCTCCAATTCATGTAGCAGTCGTTATGGACCCCTATGGACGTGACCTCTCAGCCACACCTACCAGAGCACCCGGGTGTGAAGCGTTACTTCTCAGTAAGGGCCTTGCAGTGCGGGTTCTCGGGTGCTCTGGTCGAGCAACGCCGCTGCCATGTTGTGTGGTTGGGCCCTGGTGCGGACGGCACCTTGCATGCAACGCCTTTTTCGCCGCGTCCGGGAGAGAGCTCAACACTCAACTCGGCGACTTGCAATGCAACGTTTTCTCTAGTTGGGCAGCCCCCCTTGCCTTCACCATTGAACTTACGAAACCCCCGTATTCCATAAACTCCTCATTTGATTAATTGACCCTAGGAATATGACGCTTCAAAGACGGGCTCCGATTTCATTAGGTATTACCATCGAACCGGGACAACGACACCTCGAGAGAGGTCGTAGCTCCGGATAAGCGGTGTCGTGCGCTCAAGAATAGTCCTTGTTCCCAACAGTTCGTACAACTCAACATTAGCGGTTGAGAACTTTCGAAGGAACTCGTCTTCTCCGTTTGCGATCTTTATTGAGCTCACATTTATTTTGTGGTACACTCACTCTCACGTTGATGCCTTGTCCCTTTTTGTCGTTACGGGGTTTCCATTTGGCTTCCAACCATATTCCCACAAAATACACCTGCAACCAGTTCATATCTTACATGAGCAGGACTTCCACCAATAGATCATTCATGGGCCGGAGTTGCGTTACCAGTAGGGCCCCCCTCTCACGAGTTCCTCTTCCTTTCAGATGAACTCTAGAAGGAGCGACGCCAGTGGGAGGTTACGCAGTCCGCCCATCTAGCAATAGATGCGGAAATCTTCCTCTCAATTCTCACACGTTGTCAAGAAAATCGCCCGAAGTGCATTCTCCCGCATCTCTGAGCCGCCCTCATACTTCGCGAATCGACCGATTAAAGGCAGCGCCCGCGTTCATTTGTTGTTCCCACGCCCTCTTTGGATATCGTAGCTCACCCTATGAGGATGGTGGACGTACTAGTTTCGCAACTCAAAAATGCGAGAGAATAGCGGCGCCCGCTCGTGAAGAGTCGGCCACCCCGCCCACCTGGCGACCACTACGCCCAACTTCATTTCTAATGGTTGCCTGATGGTGCGGTTGTTCTGCTACTAACTCTCTCCACTTCGAATGGTGAGAGTGATGATAAGGGAACGCTGATGCCAACAAGTGAGAACTCGTGCGGCTTCTCTTCGCCTCAAGCACGTACAACCTCAGCTCGGCGTGGGGTCCTATATAAGGCATATCCGATGATTTTTTTGCATTTTCTTCACTAATGAACTGCTTGCTACCTTCGTTGTCACTGTCTGAGCCCATAACTCATCAAATTGAACGCGGGCGCTGACTTTAGCCTTGCGACTTCCAACCCTCCACCTCTAATCGTTGAACTGCTGCGAATCATGCAATCGCTGAACTTCTAAATTAGTTTAGTTGTGATTATATTAGAATTAGCAGTTGCAGCAGTCCATTAGCGCTAGAGCGTATAGGATGCAATCGAGTGACTCCTGGATGACTGGTCCGGGTCGCGAAGTATAAACGCAGCCTAGACTGTTTCCCTCCTTTCTAACAAGGGAGGTCTTTCAGGTCGTGGCGCGCTTTTTGGAAATGGTTTGTTGCTTGTTGTAGGGGTCCATACAAGGATCACAAAAATGGGTTTCATTTTTGCTATGCGTTTCTGGGGAGGTCAAAAACTGAGTGAAAAAAATTTGGCAAGAAGAAGAATATCGGAATGAAGAATATGCCTTCAAATGGCATATACTTGGCTTATTTCCACTGCTAGACACACAGGAACGCGAATGAATAGAAAGATGAGAAATGCAAAAATTTGCCACAAGGAGGATCTACAACGTCCCGTATCGTCGTCCCATCCAGAATCCATCGAGTTATCCGCTGCGCCATCCGATCCGCCGACAGTGAGCATGAGGGGACCGCTGACAAAAACATCACTGTTGCGTCGGTGCATGCCAAGTGTGTTACTACATGATACTTACATTTTGACTTTATTTGAAACTATTTTCGAGGCCTAATTAACGAGCACATTAACCCGTTTTTGTGATCCTTCGTATGGACCCCTTACAAGCAAGCAACAAACCATTTAAAAAAGCGCGCTACGACCTGAAAAACCTCCCTTGTAAGAGGGAATAACTGCCACAGCTCAGGGTTTTAGCCGAAAACTTTACAAGAGATACCAGTTTTTTAGGCAAAGGAGGATGGCGAGCATGGCATGGAGACAGTAGAGGAGTTACGTGTTCGTGCTCAGCAGCTAGAACCAGCTGCAGAACAAGTGAGTGTTGAAGCACTGTTATGATTCATTTGACTGTTTGTGAGAAATTTGCAATTTTCTGATTTTTGCAAAGTTATGCCAATGTCAGGTGAACGGAGACCTGTGCAATGGCAAAGTGTACTTGGCGTCGATCAAGGAAGGGAGAATCGGACTTCGAAGAACCGCTAG